TGGTTTTAATAAGAGAAGGCTTATTTAGGTAGCTACAAAGGTAGTAGAAGTGAGCCAGCTGGGCTGCGTAGGCTCAGAAAACAAGTTATAGAAGCAAAAGAAGGGCCCTTAAAGCTTAGGAGAGGGAAAGGCAAAGGTAATGAGCCTGAGGGAAGAAGAGGGGGCGAGAAAGGCACTGGCATGCTCCTGACAGGGAGAGCTTATCCTGGCAAATTCTAGCCACTTCCACCCTTTCTATCACACCTACTCCCACCATGAGCCACTCTGCTCCATCAGTTTAACAGTCATTCCGGGAGGTTCCACATGTGCAGCCTTGCCCACAGGACAACAGAACTGAGGGTTTTCCACTCCAAGCATCAGTGGGCATTTTGTTTGTTTTTAAAGCACTGATCATTTTAGTTTCCTTTTAAATCTTAAGAGTTGAAAAACTACATTTAGGTCATCACAAGCAACACCCGATGGGTAGAATTAAAATTATATGCTAATTGGGTTATTAGTGCTATTCATTTAACAACTGAAAATACACATCAGTAGAGTGAAATGCCATTTCTTCTTTTTAAATCTGTTTGAATAAATTCTGTATTAGTTAGACTGTAAACCATGCTCACTCCTACATGTTACAAAACCTTACAATGTTCTGATTAACACCAACATTTATGAATCCAATTTATAGGGGTTTTCTAAGAAAATTAAAACTTTTCACAACACAATTTCAGCTTCCTGCTTCATCTAAATCTCACTACTCTGAACAACAAGGTACTGCTCCCTGGGATTTTTTTCCCATACTGAACACCAACATACAATGTTTTCCACAGTTTCAATTTATTGATTAATTCTTATTTTGTGCCAAATGGATTCACATTTTGCCTTCCAATCTGTGTAGATCATGTACTTGCAGCAATGTCAAGTAAGGGATTTTATTTTCTGCTTTTGCTTTGAAAAGTGAGTTCCACATTCCTCTTTACTGCCAACTCAACAAATAATTCTACAACATGAAATAGAGATTTTTTCCTAACTTGCAGTATAAAAGGCCTGCCATGTTTTATCTTATACTTGAAAGTCAGTGCCACTTTTAGCTCTCCTTCACAAGGGCATTATTACATGTCACCTGTTAATTGGGCCACAGACACTGAAAAACCATTTGGCTTAGCCAATGATGGTGAACCTATGACACGCGTTTCAGAGGTGACACGCAAACTCATTTTTTTGGTTGATTTTTCTTTGTTAAATGGCATTTAAATATATAAAATAAATATCAAAAATATAAGTCTTTGTTTTACTATGGTTGCAAATATAAAAAAATTTCTATATGTGACACGGCACCAGAGTTAAGTTAGAGTTTTTCAAAATGCTGACACGCTGAGCTCAAAAGGTTCGCCATCACTGGCTTAGACCAAGAACTCAAAAGCTATTAGAGTGGCAGGGCCAATGATTATATCCCAAAGAGAGTCCACTGGCTGAAGGAGTTAGGAATACAAGTGTAGGCAGAAAAGTCCACAGATGAGGGAGATTAAAGTTCCAGGGTGGGCCACTGCTGACTTCCCAGCTTATTAGCCAGGGAGAGAGCATTGGTCTACTCACATGCACTCGCGAGTACTTCCTGGGGCTGAAAGTGCACCTTCACGCTGGGAATATGAACCTAAAGATCCTGGGAATGGGGAGAGAGTACTGGGAAGGGAAGTATCAGAGGCTTCATCCCCACAAAGAAGAAACTATGGGCTCTTGGCTGTACTATAATCTTTAATCTCTCACTTGACAGGCTGAGGAACTCGAGGTTCTCATTCAAGCTTCCTTAGCTAACCTGTAACTAAGATGGGGCTGTAAGGGTGAGTAGGTATATTAATCCTGTCTTTTAATTTATGTTCCAATTCTTGGAGTTTTGCTGACTCTGTAGGAATTGCCCTTCCCAAGATCAGCTAATTCCTAGAGATAGCAAAGTAAGGTCTTGGAGGGCTCACCTGTGAGCACGTCTTTATATGCAAAGTAACCCATCCAGAGCTCACACCCCAAATACCTGCTCTTTGAAGCTCAGGGCCACTATCCCCCTACTCCAATCACCTCGGGGCCAGATACCAGACAAGCAGAGATCGCCCCTATGCCCCAGAGTCCACTGAAATTATCCAGTCACCAATCCTAACCCTACCTAGTCTGCTTGCCCATTCCTTCCCAAGAAAACCACAGTGAAGGCTCTTGCCCCCATTTCCCCTCACCCCTTCTGCCTCCTGACTGATCTGGTGCTCCCCCAGGTGGTCCCCATGGCATGCCTTGTCTGTCCTCTTGGGAGCTGTGAGTGTAAAAAACTGTCTCCTCAATGACAGTTGTCTACTGACCTGTGGGCCTCGCCACACCTGCACAATAATAAAATCTATGTTTTAAAACAGATGACTCAAGGCTTTCCTGCTGTAGGATAAACCAGGAACAGAGTATTGGTACAGAACTAGAGCTACATCTGCTCTGAGGAAGAACTTTCTAAAAATCTGTGCTACATGAATAAACAGTACGTTCTACATCACAGAAAATACTTCGGCAGTGGGAGTAGAAAATGACTTGTCAGAGAAGAACAATAGGAACTCAGATCAGACTTGATGAACCTGTACAGAGCAGTGAAAACTAATGCATCAGGGCGGTGAATGAGAAATTGCAGACTTTCAACAGCAGAGGATCACTGAAGATTTTTGAGCAGGGGAGGGAAGCGACGTATCTTATAACAATATGCAGAATGGACTGCAACAGAGGGAGACTGTGGGCGGAAGGAATAATGAGGAGGTCCCTAAAGTTCAGTCCCAAGATTGCAGCGAGGGGCTTGCTGGTGCATATGTGCGTGTGTATGATGGTGGGGACAAAAATAGGAAAAGGGTCAACTTGAACTTGAATCGACCGCCTCTCAACACAGGTGAGAGAGAAGCCCAAGCAGAGGCTCTTAGTGGAACACATTTCATAGTATCATGGGAGAAGGGTCTGAGAGCATGGACATAAAACTGCAAGGACCCACCCAAGCAGTGCACATCCCATGCATATACATGATAATGCAGCATGGGTGTCACTTTAGTGTGCAACTTGACTGGCCATTTCTTACTGGGCCAACCCCTAACTTCACATGCAGAAGTACATGTATCCAAATTATTTGATTCAAAAAAAGATTTTAAGTTACAGGTTTATGCTCAGGTGTTTCACTAAGGCTATAACAGATAGAGTATTTTTGGTTCTCCTTTGAAAGAGTCATATTAAAATACTGTGCAGAGGAAAAATGTTTAAATTATCATCAATATCAGTAAATTTAGAGAGTAATTCATTTACTTTTTTTAGGATGAGATATTCTTGTAAAGGTGACTGTCAAGACCATCTGATTTGGGGTGAAGACTCTCAAGGATGACCCCAAAATAGAAATGAGGGCAGTGGGAGAAAACTGCATCCTAAACAGCAATGTGCCCTTCGAGAACCAGCAATTACTTCCAGGTTCCCATTCTCCCACTCGGTTAGGTCACATCTAACTTCTCGTTGGAACTAAATTCAGCAAAACATCCATCATGGCTACCTTCCTGCCAAGTCAAGACTTTGCATCAGGCCAGTGGAATTCTAAAGTGAACCTGGAGATCCCTTCCAGGGCTTTGAGTTGTGACATTTGATGGGTCCAGACACACACTGAGATCCAGTGTAGTGCTGAGATGGTCTCTGGGGTAACCTTACTTCAGGCTTCCATGTGCTGTCCCTTCAGGAGTGGAAGGATGACACCACCCACACACTCCCAACAGGGCAAATACTTTGACTTGTTTTTCAGGAACTTGTGCCTCAGCATAAATTACAACTTCCCACTCGCTTGCCTGGAGCTGCTGGATGCCATATACATAGGCCATATGGGGGATGAACCCATGACCTCGGTGGAACACAAACGGGGATCTGAAACGTGTGAGTTAATGGGACACACATAGAATTAAATAGTTATGACTTCATCCTAAACCAGGAAAGGACTTAAAACCCCAAAACAGTAACATCCACATCACAAAAATGTGAATATATTCTTCCAATATTGCAATGCTTCCTTTCCAATCAACCAGCCAGTGGATATTTGTGTTTATTTAGGAGCATGGAGGCAACTGGGGAGGGAGGGGGAGATAAAACGTTTCCTTTTAATGATTAGAAAGGAGTAAGCATTTTTGTCATTTTCATGCTGACCATATTCAAGCATTAATCTTTCAAAATCATTGGCTATTGCGCACACAATCCAAATGCAATACATTATGCCCCATGCCCAAGAATACCATCAGAGTATGTCGGATTTGCTTAGGAAGGGGTGTATACTGTACTTAGTCAGAAAGCAGTTACCTCATTGTGGAATTAACAGATGCTAGGGGAATAAAAAGAAAGTCTTGTAAATAGACAAACATCTGTTAACATTTAATTTTTAACAGCAAAAAACTAGTTTTTAAAGATATGAAAAAGCTCAGATGTGTTTTCTCAACAAAGTCTATTTTGATCAATATTTCCATAACTGCTCTAGTTTTTCAACTTCAACAAAGCAAATATAATCTTAACATGAGCAGCTATTCCTTACTGCAAACCTGGCTATGCTTTAAACTTGGAACGTTCTGTTTTCTGCTAATTTGTTATTATTATATAATTCATAAATTAATGGATAGAGATGACTAAAACATAAATATAATACAAATTAGAGGCAAGCAGAAACCAAGTTTATCTTATTCTCTGATGCACATATTTACTGAAATAACCAATATTCAAGTAGCTGAACATGTGGTCACAACTCACAATTTAAAAGCAAATCACAGCTTGGTCAGTGTTGCTCAGTGGTTGAGCATCAACCCGTACGTACACCAAGAGGTCACTGGTTTGATTCCCAGTCAGGGCATATGCCTGGGTTGTGGGCTGGATCCCTTGTTGGGCATGTGCAGGTGGCAGCTGATCTCTCTCTCTCTCTCTCAAATCAATAAAAACATATTTAAAAGAAAAACAAACAAAACAAGCAAACCATAGTACTCACTCACAGTCTTGGCTGATAATAACTGCCTAAGTTTTAAATGAGATACTCAAGAGCAGGTGAATTTAAATCCGAAAAGAAAACAAAATATTTGGAGGTGAAGAACCGAACTTCTACATGCTTGTTTTAGGACTTAAGAAGTCAGCATTTTCTATGACTTCTTTTCTGCACTGTGAAAAACAGTTTATCAACTGAAAACACAGAAAATGCTGAGAATATTTTAATGTAGAAAAATTTCAGTGATCATTAAATTATTTTTGCTTAATGAGTCAGTCTTCAATTAGGATGAAAAATGTACATAGATAGTAATGTTGAATTACTAAACTCTTATCTCTAACTTTGGTAGGTCTCTGGAGTTAGTTCTAAAGCAACAGATATAATTTTCTCAGACCCACTAGCCTGACAGTAAAAGAGACTTGAGCTTAACTAGCCAATTGCATTTGATAGTCCAAGTTTCCTTCTGGCCTTGCATGACCCAACATGAAAAAGAATGACTTTTCTGTGGGGGATGTGCAGGAGGCAGCTGATCGATGTCTCTCTCTCATCGATGTTTCTAACTCTCTATCCCTTTCCCTTCCTCTCTGTAAAAAATCAATAAAATATATTTTAAAAAATAAAAAACAAACAAACACGTCTTATAAATATACTAGATAATAGCTTCCAAATAACTATCCCATAGGTTCTATTATTTGATCTCAGTAGAATCCAATGACATAGAGCAGGTAATACCCTGAGTTTGTAGTAAAGGGGAGTGTGGCCTAAAAAGCTTAAAGAGACCCTAAAAAATGGCAGAGTTGAGATACAAATTGGTCTGGTCCTGTGCCCAACGGTGTAGTGCCCTGGGGCCCGCCTGGGCTAGCTCTAAAGGGAAGCAGCAGCTGCCCCTCTCAGCTACAACCCTGCTCTGAAAGCTCTCCCCAACAGGCCTGTCTTTACAACAAAATGTCCTTCCTGTGTAAAGGTCTGCTGGATCTAAGCAACAGTCCTCAGAGGTCTTCGCTCTCCCTTTCCACCTCCGTGTGGCAGGATGGACCTTAATGCCCCACGTGAGATAAAGGAGAGAGAGTCCCGGAGGAGGGCAGAGCCAGGCAGCACTGCACATTGGGAGCCAGAGGGATGAGGAAGGCTGCCCTGGCATACTTCCCTTCTGAGCCTCACCTGTTTTCACGTAGAGATAGCCCCCAAGGCTCTTCCCGTATCCCCAAATAACACACGTTTATAATTACTGCCTTCTTTTCCAAGCAGGGCCATTTCTTTTACACTCGGAGTGTAAGCATTTCTGTTAGAAAAGACTGAACAGGCTTTTGCATTTTTATAAGCACAACAGGGGACTTGAACATGCTTTTTGCCAACACAGGTATAATCTCAACGTATCACTTCAAATTTTTTCATTTGCATTTAACATTTCAATGAAAAAAGTTTAACCCATATTCCCTTTTAATTATTTTTGACCCACTGGCTGCAAAAGTAGGTAATAATGTTGAATCCAGTCCGAATGAAGTAACCTTGGCCTTCTCTGTGCATGTGATTTTGTTTCCTCCTTTAAACAGATCTGGTCTCCCTCCTGCCATTAAAAATGAGTATTAATATGGCTTCATCTCCATTCATTCTGGGACTCTCCTTAAATGAGCTCTAACACACTGCTCTGGGGGCTTAGGCTGGATTCTAGGCTTTGATTTCTTCCTCCTCCAGGAGGATGGGGAGGTGGTCGCTCTCCTGACCCCAGGAAGGAGGTGCCATGTCTCCTCCTGAAGGAACGGAAGCCCAGGGCAGAGAGGAGTCAGTTTATAAGGAAGACTCAGCTGTCCTCTGTCCTAGTTTTTCCAGTGCATGGGATAGGGGAGTCGCCTCCAACCGCTTCTCACTTGTGGTAACTATCATTTGGTAACAGCGCAATCTGAGAAAACTGGTGCCTAGACAGTGCTGGGTACAGATGCCCCTGGGACACCTAAAGGCATCCCACAGCTCACACAGCATGCTCACACATACCTCTTACTTTTACTGTGAGGTATGTGATATGCACCCCATTGTGACAGACAGGAAATACACTGGGAAAGGTTAGGTGACCTGCCCAAGGTGCACAGCCAGTGCAGGCAGAGCTGGGCTCTGAGCTGCATCTGCAAAGTCTGAGGCACTTTGTTCCACTACTGCTCCTGCCATTCAAGTCCAGGCTCTGCCTTTCAAATCTGACCAGATCTGAAGGTCACAAGAGGAGACGGAAAGCCCTGCTTAGAGGTCCACCTGAAGAATGGCAGAGAGGGTGTCCTCCAAGCTGCAAACAGAGCAGCAAGGTGGCAACGGCGGTGATGCTCTTGCTGACATGTCACCTTCAGCCCAAGGCCCTCATGGCCACCTTGCTGCTGAAGGAAACACGGAGCCTCTGGTTGGAGCCAGTGGGGAGAGGGTCAGGGAGCAAGTGTCCCGGGCCTCCACCTTTCCTGAGACTCTCACCGCACCTGGAGAGCTGTACCAGTCAGGCCGAGGGTCACAGAAGTGCCTTCTGCAAACTAAACTGTGACTTACAAAAAAAAAAAAAAAATTGGCAGGAGAATGTCAATCAACCACCATTCTGAGTTCAGCTCTGACGTCATTCTGCCTGCCAGGAACCCAGCTCCAGAGGGCCCTGAGTCGGACAGCACGTGATAAGAACTCTTGTTCCTCCATGGAAACACTTGGAATTCCTACTCTGAACAGCAGTGGAACCTCCTCTGTGTTGCAGGACGAAATAGCTGGGGGACGGCCATCCCGGCGGCCTCAGGAAGGAGAGTCCCAGCACCCAGGCAGAAATGCCCCTAATGTCCGCCACTAGCTTCCCTGCCCCTGGCAGCAGCCCAGCCTATGACCAGACAGTGCTGGGTATTAGAAACCCCTCCTTTCCCTTCTGTAATCTCTCCCCACTGTCCTACATGGGGCCTCCAGAGTCAAAGATGAACACTTAGCCTCCCTCCTAAAGACCCCTCCTGGCAAGAACATGGAGATGCCAACAGCTAAACTACAGACTGCCAACTTCATTAACCATCACGGAACTGGCCATTCTGAAAACGCAGGAGACCTGGGCACCTGTCAATTTTAACTTCTGTGTTTGTACGTATTTCCAAGTCTTTTATAATAAAGGATATCCAAACTAAAAGGAAAATTAAGAGGCATAAATAAACATTCCAAGAGTAAGGAAAAATATAGCCTTCCCGGGTAAATAACTCCATTCACAATTCACACGGCATCCTTAATTTGGAGAAAATAAAGTACAGTGGGTTTATGGAAGCCACTTCAGGATTTGCAGGGTGTGTGATTCCTTTCCTGCTGGAACAGAGCAGAACTTTGCTGAGTCCACACTCTGAGCAAGTAGGAACTGCTCCTCTCCTATTTCCTCGGGGCCCAGAGCCCACCATGGGGTCGCACGGGGATCTGGTCTCTCCTCCCATCATCTTTCCTGAAGTCTTCTCTGTCTCATGCAGATATTTCCTGTTGACAATGTGTTTCCCTGATCAGACAGAGAAGTCCATTTTCACTGCCAAAACCTGACGATGGAAGGGTGGCATGCCAAGAGTAATCATACAGTACATGGTAGGACAAATGGCTATGATTGTAAAGTATTTCAAAATAGAAGGCCACATACAATGCTAAACATCATAGGCCTGAATGCACACAGCAGACGTGGGAGTGTGCAGGTTTTAACTTTTGTAGTTTTGCCTATTTGCAAGTCTTTTTGAGGCTGGCACTGTGGAGAAAACCGTAATTTGTCTGGGATATGAGTCATGTTCGCGTATAAGGAAGATGGTTCCTTGGCCCATCTGGCCGATGACATGGCACCACAGGCCAAACGTGGCAGGGAGTTCTGTGTGAGTATCAAGTGGTTTCTGGCAACAGAGCTCAAGGGCCCAGCAGCCCTCTTAATTCCTGGGGCTGACCAAGGCATTTCATCCCAAGGCCACAGAGCAGAGCATGGCCCCCAGTGGCCTACCTAGTGTGTCTGGGAAAACGATCAGGAGCACCTGGTGCAATGCTCCTCTCTCCTCCCCAATGAGCGCAGGTAAGACAGGCCAGAGTGACCTTGAGAACCGGTCCCCCCCAGCGTCCATAGCAGCAGCAGCAGCAGCAGCAGCAGCAGCAGCAGGGAGTAGGCACACCTGCTCCCTCAGGATCCATCTCTCTCTTCTTCCTCCAGAGTCTGTGTGTGCTGTGGATGAACTTGCCTTTCCTCATATCACAATGGAAAATTCTCATTCTCGATTGGAATTAGGAAAATAAGCCACCTTCAGATATTTTGTTTTAAATCAGCGGTTCTCAACCTGTGGGTCGCGACCCCTCTGGCGGTCGAACGACCCTTTCACAGGGGTCGCCTAAGACCATCCTGCATATCAGATATTTACAGTACGATTCATAACAGTAGCAACATTACAGTTATGAAGTAGCAATGAAAATAATCTTATGGTTGGGTCACAACATGAGAAACTGTATTTAAAGGGCCAGAGGTTGAGAACCACTGTAATGAACTTTATTGAGATATAATTCAGATGCAAAAAAAAAAAAAAAAAAAAGCCCTTTACTTCAGAGGGGTCTGTGACAGGGCCCTGGAAAGATCTCCTTTTAATACCACTTTATACCATTATCCTAATAGGCCTAGTACACGTGCAAATATGGATTTATTCACAAAGGCCTGAGGAAACACTCTTCTTAAGTGAGGATTTATTCTAACTAATCAGGATCACTGAGACCTTGATCACACTGGCAACTGTCTCCAATTCCCCGGAGGCTAACCTGGTGTCCCTCACCTTAGGCCTAAGCACAGGCCTTCAGAAGCACTGAAGTCCTTTTTATTGGGGACAAGGAGAAAGTAATCTTTAAAAATTTAACATGTGGTATATTTCCTTTCAGGTTTTTCTTTTTTTGTCGGTTTTATTTTTGGCCATTTTTCTCAACATAGCAGGAAGCTTGTAGTACGTGTACATTTTTGCATTTTAAATGTACATCAGCATATAAATATTTCCCTTGTCACTAAAACTTGTGTTAAAGATTACATAACATTTTGCTTTATGCATGTCATAGAATGAGTCCCTGTTTTAGACTTGTAGGTTGTTTGTATTATTTAGACTATAAATAATGCCGGTACCCTGTGCATAATTTACCTGTTTTGAATGGCAGGCATTTCTGGGTTTACTGAGCAGCTGTATTTTCTGTTTAGACCATCTGGGCTGCCCCTGGAAAGCACAGGCCTCACCGCAGAGGGTGGCTCCCTTCCTCAGCAGCCACTAACTCTCCATGTGTTGGAAGGATAAGCGTCGGTGCCCTTCCAAACCGCAAAGTTGGTATTTGTTCAGTGAAGGGCTTCTTATGGCCCTGCTCTGAGTGGCCCAGGCATCTGGTTCCTGTAGCTCTCAGAAGACACTGCAGCCTTTACAACTGGCTGTCTGGATGCTGACTTAGTTGTTGGGGAGCACACGAGACTTGGTTGGGAAGTTTGTAAGGAGGACATTCCGAGAAAAGGGAAGTGTGTGGAAGGCCGCCTGCTCTGTTTATTGGAATTCCAACTTAGGGAAGTGCCGAAGGCGGTGCCCCTAATTATTCCTTGACCTTTCCAAACAACTCTGTGCACGTGCAGACTCCTGAGTGTTTACTGGAATGCTTATGCTTAATCCCTGGATGCCCTTGCCTCGAGGACAATGTAGACACAAGTGTCCTCCCAAGATTACTCACCCTACTGATTATAGCTAAAGATAAAAACTGCAATAAAAGGCTAACAAGGCAGGCAATCAAGGCTACCTGGTTGCTATAGCCAGGCCGTCCCTTAGCCCTCTCGTTCACAGCAAACGTTGTGTCAGAGTAATCCATTAATCCGTCGTTCAGGGACTGCTGGTCAGCCCCGGCAAGGTGGTGCCCCGTGTGAGGAGTCCCGGCACTTAGTGACTGAGGCAGGATGGACGCTTCCATCTGAAAGGATCCCTTTAACTTCCCAAGACCCAATAACTTTCTTTCCAACCCTCAGTAAGAGGGAGGTTCTGAGTAGAATAACAGAAAAAGCTCCATCTGTGAGGTACCATTTTTCACTTGAAATTTTCATTGGGGGGTGGGAGGAGGCAAAAGTCAGTAAGTTTGATGATATTCTATGTTGGCCTAATTCTGGCAAAATGGGTACTCAATGTCACAAATATATATACGCTTTGACCAGACTGGATTTTTAGGAAATTTATCCCACAGACAGACTCGCACATTCACAGACACCAGGTAAGAGAAAGAGTGCTCTGCCCATCGGGGTCCTGAAGCACTCCCGGTGCCGGAGGAGGAAACAGTCCACGGACACTCGAAATACTCAGGGTCTAGTAAGAGAGTTGTCTAAACAGACGTCTTCTGGGGGAAGCTGAAGAAAACTTACAAGGTCTCGACAGTTGTGTAGCGAAGAAATCCAGGCCTCCAAGACTCCAGGAAGCAGGAGAGAGGAAAGTTATGTAGACACAATTAGGAGTGTGTAGATAGAAAGACACCTGTGAATCGCGGAGGCTTGAGGACAGGCAGGGCTGGGAAGGCCAGAACAGAAGCTGCATGGGTAGTCTGGCGATGGAGAACAAAGCAAAACAGTCTGTCTAGAGAGGTGGGGCTGTGGTCAGCTGCAGAGGAGCTTAAGGCCACAGGTCAGGTCTGGATTTATCCTGTGGGCATGTGGTCACGAAAGTGAAGTGTAAAATCCGCTTACATACATTTCTATCTAAAAAAGAAGTTCGGCTGTACTAATATTTTATAGTTACACATGACATAATTTATAAGTAAATATACACACATTACGGGCACATACTCCATTTTACTGCAAGAGGCATGCAGTCAAACAAGTGCAGAGACAAGTGATCTTGGTGATGGGGAGACTGGAACTTTCTTAACAGGAAAGTGACATGATTAAATTTGCTGTTAGCAAGACCACCAGGGGCTCAAGACTCCAGAGCAATGAGTCTGGAAAAAGAAAGCTCAGGGGCTGCTCCTGCTGGGTGGCCCTTCTGGGATGGGCGCAGCTGCCCAGATCACTGGCCAAATCCCACTTGCAAGCAGAGAAGGGTCAGGAAGCTGGCTGCATATCTGTGGGTAGCAGCTCTAAACAGAAAGCAGTCAACTCCAGCATTTCTCACAGAGAAATTCATCCACCTATTACCCAACACACTCCCCCTTTGGAAGAAGGTGAAAGGAATTCTCTGCAAGAGGCAGGAGTTAACTCCCTTATCAGGTGCTAAACTGCTTCCTATGAGGGGTTTCAGAATATCAACTTGACCAGTTATTTGTAGAAGTTTGGCGGTGTCTGCAGTCTTATATTTTCTCTGTTAGAGTGTGCTTAATTTTATTTCTCTCACATGCTTCCTAAGCATGTATAATATTTTAATTCCCTTCCCATCCCTTTAAGACTCTTTAAGGTCTAAGGGCGTCCACTGTGGGAACACAGCACCCTAACTCACTCACTGGGGTTGTAGAAAACCCTACTATTTGGGGATCACACTTATACTCTCTCTTGCAAAAAGCAAAAGATGAGGCAGTCTCCCAGACTATCCCTGGGAAAGAAGTGACATCCTGATTTTGACTGTCACAGGGGAACATTCAGAGGCCTCTCGGTGGTTCCAAGAAAGAGAAAAGGCTGCAGAGGGGACAAAAGGGAGAGAAGAATAAGAAGAACCACAAAGTTACCCCTGGACATCCACTCCCACCCCTACCTTTGTATAAAGGAACAACCAGGGGGGCTGGGAGGAGGGCGTCAAGTCTGGCAGGATGGCAAAGGCACTCCTGGGAACCTAGCACGCACGTTCACTGCTAGATCCAAGCCCAACACTGGGACCTGCATTGAGCTGAGTGATCGGATCTCTGCCTCTCTTTCCTGTCACTTGTTCATTCTAGCAGAAGGCCCATATTCGCCAGAAATGAAAAAGGATACATCTGCCCCCAGTGAAAACGTAAGACATGTCTGGGGGTTTGAACACATATGAGGAGGACTTTCTCAAAAGTGAGAATGAGGAAACCAACAAAAGCAAAAACAATCCCTTAATCCAAGGAAGGCACAGAATATACACAACATTTTTAAACTACATTCTTCAGCATCTGTAGTACTTCTGATTATAGAACTAAGAACAACAGGTAGGATTCTTTACCTTTTTCTATTATATAGATCATTTTAGATCATGCAGCATTAATGCCCATAAAAGACCATCTCTTAGTTCTACCTAAATAGTTACAGTAATATTGTACAGTGGACATACTGAAAATTTATCAATGACAGATAATTCAGCCAACTTTTAATGTGTCTAAATCAAATGGCTTCTAGATAACATATTTGAAAAGAGAGTCTAATGTGAAGTGATGTGGGCAGATTTTGTGTAGATCTTGGCATTCAAAGCTGGCATCAGGCCACTCATATTGGTTTATTTACCTTTGATCGTGTTGTAGCCTGCTGACTCAAGAAGGTCACCATATAAAAGAATGTCCAGCTATGTTCAAGTTTGCTACTTGGGAAAAGTAGTTCAGATGATAAATACTCTTTCAAATACCCAACATGCAATACTAAGTGCTTTAAATAAGAGAGAAAGTGGCTTATATGATTTCCCTGTGGCACACTATCTGCTCAGGAAAATGGGGGTGACCTGAAACACCAGCAGAACCCACACGCCATCATTTAGCAACACCTCACACAGGACTGTGTCCAGGGGTCTTAAGAAACAAGCTCTTCTTCTCAGGGGGTTGTCTGTCCTCTCACTCACATTCCTAAAAGGACACTTCTCAGTTTTAATTCTTCTAAACACTTACTAACGAGAAAGCCACAGCTTTAGCTTCGAGGCTCAGAAGCCACAGATAGGGTGGTTTTAATTTTTTTATTTTTCACTAAAACTATGACTTCGTTTCACAAATAGTGTATTTACAATTTTGTATAACTTTCACTAACATAAAAACTTTTTATTGAAAACATTAAACCGCACACACAAAAAAGCCAAATACAACATTTTGAATTTCTGAGTCTAAAATGTTGGTATATTCAAATACTAGCATTCCCCATCAGAAACCTAAACTCATTAATGAAAACAGAGAGAAAAAAATTGAGGCTTAAAAATCAAGATGGTTTATGCCTCAAGTCAAAAAGGAGACCAGGTTGACTATCTCAATCAGGAGCTTATAAAACCACGGTGCACAGACCCAGTCCTCCAGAAGATGAACGTTTAGACTAGAACCGACCCGAGAGTTCCAGCTCTGTAGTTACACAAGGAACACAGATAGCTCTGAGTTTTATCATGCGTTATTTGTGGTGTCATTGAGAAACAAAGAGTAGATACTGTTGCTGACTCTCAGCCAAGACAGCTACATATGTGCCAAGGTGCAAATTTTTGCAGGAAGTAAAACTCTAATGGTTATAATTCCTTTCACATGAACACAAACTCTCTTTCTGCTCCAGTGGCAACCTCAGGCCTGATACAAGCATGGTTATTAGATCTTTTAAAACCTTTGCAGAGGTTAGAAGGCTGCAGAAAAAATACCACTGGGGGTTAAAAACAGCTTTCTGAAATTGTTCTAAATGGACAAATAATGCTTTGCTTTCTTTGACAGCTGTTCAATAACTGAATACAGCTGAAGAGAGACTCAGCTGCCAAGAGATTTCTATTTGGTTCGCGACCAGGTTTTCTTTTCCAGATCGCTTCCAACATTCAAACTAGTCTTACTGATCTTAAGTGCATTAAAAAAGACAATTCTTATTTTAACTCTTTTCCATCATGCTTCACCCATGTTAGATAACATAAACTGTGTGTTTAAAGGCAATAGCCTGAAGGTGAAGGCTATTCCACTTAAACTTTAGCTGGATACAGGGGGAGGTATGGCTGATTACCTTTCAGTTAGCTCTATTAGGATACTATACTCATTCAAATGCACTGATCCCTTCTTGACACACTTAGTCACTATTACCAAAAGTGCTTAACAGTAACTGTTAATGTTTCAAATGAAAAGCTCCAGGATGGTACAGCTCTTCCAGAAGTAGCAAGTAAGCTGCCCACCAAGTGGTCTCCCAGAGTGGGGCCAATTCTGGTCAATTCACCTCAGTGTCTGGGGCTGGCCCTGATGGAAATCTTGTGCCCAGAGAGGATGCCTTTAACAGGTTGATAGAGACTGACTCGTAAAAACAAAACACCAAAGTCTTAATTTGCATTGAAAAATACACCTCTCCTTAAGGTGGCAATCTTCTCATCAGATAACCAGTATGTTCTCTCTCTGGAAAGTACACCAACCCAAGAAGCCAACTTATAACCAGAAATTTACTTGGTGGGTTATACAGAATTAAATAAAGGAGAGCTAACTATAGGATTCAGATGCACAATGGCATTACACTAACTTAACCCAATGCATACACCTCCACAATCAGAACAGTCTTGTGAAAGAGACCATGATATGGTCTACCCTCTGTTGTGATTTTACTGAAAGTAAGTGGGAAGTAATACAGCTGGAAGCAAAGACCATGGTAGTAGGATTCCAGGGTGATACAGAAGCTAGTCTAGTTTCAACAATTTAAAAAATCCTTAAACTCAGTGCAAAGAGTTTAAAAGTAATAATCATGCACATGTCAGAAAAAGCTTCCACTTACAGTACTACTAAAAATATAACAGCGGAAAGTCCACAGAGAGCGTAAACCAGCCGTGGGCAAACTACGGCCCATGGGCCACACCCGGCCGTTTTGAAAAAAAAAAAAAAAGACCGTACCCTTTTATGTAATGATGTTTACTTTGAATTTATATTAGTTCACACAAACACTCCATCCATGCTTTTGTTCCGGCCCTCCAGTCCAGTTTAAGAACCCATTGTGGCCCTCGAGTCAAAGTTTGCCCACCCCTGGCATAAACCATTTAAAACACACACAGTGTGGTGGTTAACCAATTTTGTAAGAGTGCTATCAAGCTATAATTCTTGAAATTCATAAATAAATG